CTTCGAACCCACCACCTATCCCCCGAAACCCCTGACGGCCGAAGTTTTGTCTTCCGCCGCCATGGCCCTCTCCCCTTGATGCCTTTTCCCGTCCTGATGCACGACGGCAGTTCGTTTTCGCGGAAACCCTTCTGATTTTGTCGTTTCGGAGCGATCTTACCCCTACGGGATTTCGCGACGACAGTTCGACTCCGGGGTAACCTCTGGCACGAAACGAGAGCCTCCCGTTCCGTCCGGGAGACTCAACACCTACGGCCAAAAATCCTCGGCCACGCCCCTCCAAGAACTCTGATCGGCGCCCCCGTACGGGAAACCGCGAGGGGGCGTGAGGTTGGTATCAGATCTGATTCGTTTCGGCTCCGAGGTTTTCCTAGGACGAATACCCTGCTTAAGAGTTTTCTTTCTTTCTTTCTTTCTCTGATCTTTCTTTTTAGATTTTTCTCATTTTTAAGTAGGCTGGCTCCCCGTCGCCGGCGGCCCGCGAATAGCAATCAGAACCGAGCGAGAGGCCGGGCTCGAAACCCGCCTCCCGCGATGGTGGAACCCGGAATTGGGGGTGAAAACGACGGTGATAACCACGCAGGGATGGCCAATCATCCCCTGTACTTTGTACCTCCTCCTTCCGAAATTCCCATTTTCTCCGAAGATGATACCGACCCTCGCACCTGGCTATCTGCCTTGAAAGCCCAGGGCTGGTCGGACCAGTTGCTCCGAGAACGAATCCCCGGAAGGTTAGCCGGAACCGCTTTTGAGTGGTATGAACATAACCCCTTCACTAATTGGTTGGCCTTGTGGAGGAAATTTCTCGACAGATTTGATCACATCGCACCAGGTCAATGCCTCCGTCTAACAAAGGAATACACGCAGCAGCCTCGGGCGACCTTGGCTAGATATGCTGAACGTTTTACGTACCTAGCCGAGCGCTCCGGGGTGGACGAGAAAATGGTACGGACTGATTTCGTCAGAGGATTGTCAGATTCTCGTCTGCGGGAAAAGATCCGCAAGAAATGCAACCCTGTAGAACATACTCTGACAGAGCTAATCCAGTACGCAATTAAGTACGGGAAAGAAAATTACGATGTGGGCCTGGACTCAGAATCCGACGAAGATGACCCTTCGGGTGTTCGACGCAATAGCTACTCCGCTACGGCACGGGTTGGGTCCGGCAAAAAAAGGCGTGGATCGGAAAACTTCTTCCTCTGCTTCGACCTCCCGTCGCTCTAGTCAGGGACAAGGAGGCCGGGGTGAGGAAGAAGTGTCCATAAAAGAGGTCGTGGCCCAATTAGTTACGGTAGTGGCCCCGCTGACGGAGTTCGTTCAGGGACTGCAGCGGGAACGCCTAGCCGCCGCATAACGGCAACAAGCGGCTATGGCCGTCGGGGCCCCTATGATAAGACCGGCGGTGGCCGGGGCTGTCCCGCCCCTACGCTGTTATAACTGTAATCAGCCAGGTCACCTTGCGAAAGATTGTCCGAAACCTCGAACTCAGGGTGGGCCTGCTGGGCCTTCCCAAATCCCGCTGGCTGCTCCAACCGCTGCAGGACAAGGGAGGGTGGACACGGTGATGGATACCGGGGCAACGGAAATGGTGACCCCTGCAGCCACTGAGATAGGGCCCGATGAATACATGGCTGCGGTGATGTTCGAACCCGGGACCATCGGAGTGATACGTCACGTCCAACGGATTACCGAGGAAAGCGACCTCGGGCCGTGGCGACCAGGGTTCAAAGACCTTGCGGCACCTGGTCCTGAATACAAGGATGGCCATATCGACGTATTGGATGCCTTGAAGGCCTTGGATCTTCGGATCCCCGTCCCTATTCCCTATCTGCTAACCATTTTCGAAGCGGATAATGAAAAGTTCATCGAACGATGCCTCAAAAACAGGCGCCGGTTCGAGGAAAGTCGAAAGGGTAAAAAGCCGGTCCTACGGGACCTACCCACAAACGAGGAGTCGCAGCCCTCGACCTCAAAGGTGCACGAAGCCGACCGGATAGGAATGATCCAGACCGTAGACTCTGCCTCGGAAAAACCCGAGGTATTTCTCCGAGCCTATCCTATAACCTGGAAAAGCGTTGAGTGTGACTGCGAGGTCTGGGGAAACCCCTCGGCCGCCATCCTAGACTCGGGATCGTCGGCGGTCGCCATTTCTTGGAGATTGACGAAAAAGTTGGGAAGGGAAGGACAAGTTCAGCCCCTCCGATATCCGCTACGGAAGACAGTATTCATTGTAAAGGGCGAATAACAAACATGCCTATACGGGTGGGGCGGGTGCATTGTTTGTGTGACGTAATCGTGCTGGATGTACAGGCGTACGATGTCCTGCTGGGCATTCCATAGTAGGCGGCGGTCGGAGCTCGAATGCACTTTGACAGTTGTAAGGTGGTGCTCACATCGGCCCACCCCAAACCCCAAACGATACCAATGAGACTGGCGGTGTGCATGCGCACCCAGCCGGCGCCTCGACTCACCACGAAAGCCCATCAAATCAACATGATCCGGCGCCTGTCACCGGACGAAAATGAACCCTCGACGGAAACTGACGAGACTGATATACCCGACCGATATCCGATCCGAGTTCAGGATCGGTGGCGCCATTCTTGGCGGCGAGAACCACTGGAAATAGTTCGGAGCGAGTCCAATTGGTCGCACGCGTTCTCCTCCGTGGTGCAGGGGGAACCCCTGCTGAGGGTGTCCCGAATAGTTGATTTTCGGAACCCCCTGCGTCCTTGTATCTCCTAACGGACCCCCTACCTGAAAGATTTACCGAGCTTAGGGGACTGTGAGATTTATCTTTTCGACCTCCACGGCCCCTACTCACGAATGAAAAAGCCGCGATACTCCTGAAAGAGGGGGTGTCGTTTCAACCCCAAACACGGGAATATCGGTGGGGACCGAGGGAACTGACGCAGGCCTTTTCGGTAGAACCCTTGGCCGAACCCGAACTGGACAGTGACAGTGACATGGAAAGTGAGCCGGTGAGTCCGGCGGACAGTCAACTTATTGCGACTGTCCTTTCGGTGAAAACCGACAACTCTTTGTTTGGGACCTCGCCCAATGCCAGCGCGGCGGTCCCCACGGTTACGACGACGGTCTCCCTTCCTGGGGGAACCGTAGAAGTTCAGTTACCAGCCCGTTTCGGATGAATACAGACGCCTCCTCTTGGCGGTTATACGGGCCTATCCTGAGGCCGTCAGTATTCAGGACCACGACATAGGGCTAACCCCTTTGATACAGCACGCGATTGATACCGGGGATCACGCCCCGATACATTGCCGACCGTACCGATATTCCCTTAAAGAAAGACAGCTGGCGTTGGAAAGGGTATGGGAATTCGAGCCGTTGGGGTGGGTCGAACCATCGCTGGGACCGTGGTCTTTTCCCGTGGTCCTTGTGCCAAAATGAAATGGTTCGGTCCGGGTATGTATCGACTACCGGAAATTGAACGCAATCACTACCAAAGATGTGTATCCCTTGCCGCGAATCGACGATTTGTTAGATGCTATCAGGGCCGCACGAGTCTTTTCCAAGTTCGATATCCAACACGATTTTCACCATGTCGCAGTCCGACCGGAGGACCGACCCAAAACCGCTTTCGTCCTATTTGAGGGCATGTGGCAATGGGTCCGGTGTCCCATGGGAATTTGTAACGCCCCTGCAACGTTTCAGCGGGCCATGAATATGGCCTTCGCTGAGTTCGTTAACAAAACCCGACTAACCCAGCCCCTGATCAATTTCTGCGTGATTGTGTACATGGATGATATTTTGGTCTTTTCAAAAACACACGAGTACCACGTGGAACACATTGAGTGGGTTTTGCATGCACTAAAGGATGCGGGGTTCAAAGTGGCCTTTGAGAAAAGCGAGTTCTTCTTGTCGGAGATCTCATTCTTGGGGTACATCGTCACGGTCGATGGACTAAAACCGGATCCGAGGAAGGTGGCAGCAGTTCAAGAAGCCCCGGCGCCGGTCACAATCACCCAGGTTCGGGCTTTTCTAGGGCTGGCATCCTATTACGGATGCTTCATCAAGGGGTTCGCCGGTATAGCGAAGCTCCTCACGAACCTGCTGAAGAAAGAGGAACAGCTGATCTGGACGCCGGAATGCAAAGCGGCGTTTCAGGCGTTGAAGGAGGCTCTGACATCTGCTCYTGTGTTGGCGCGTCCCGACCCGACAAGACCGTTCGCACTGTACACCGACTGGCAGCCTCAGGCGATATCGGCGGTGCTGACTCAGCACGGGGCGGACGGAAGGGAACACGTCATTGAGTATGCGTCCAAGACGCTGAGCCAGGCGCAGGCTAATTAGGAAGCGTGCAAAGGCGAATGCCTGGCGGTGGTGTGGGGGATCCAGCATTTCCGACCGTATCTTTACGGCCAGAAGTTCGTGCTGGTAACGGATCATCAGCCGCTGCTGTCCCTACGCAACAACACGGACTACACGGGGACGCTGGGCAGGTGGGCGGTACGTCTGCAAGACTATGACTTCGACATCCGCCACCGTGCCACGCGGCAGCATGGTAACACCGATGGACTGACGCGCCTCCTGCCGCCCAACAAGTGTCCCGCCAACGAGCGACTCATTCCGTGCTGCGCAAGAACGACGCCTGAGTCCGAAATGGAGGTTTTACCGGAGATGGCAGACGCTATCTCTTTGCCCTCATCCAACTCCCTCGCTCTCTCGTCTAGTCCCTACTCGTCCCCTGAAACACAGCTAAGTCCCTGTTTTTTCTGTACCTTGCCTATGGTCCCGGACCAAGAAGGGTCACATCCGGGAGGGCCCAATTTTCTTTTGTGGGTGCAGTGTAGTCGGTGTCAAGCAGTCAAGTCCCACGGACAATGCGTTAGGTACCGAAGTGAAAAGACGTGGGTCTGTCCCAACTGTAGAACGGACCAAGTCCCTACCGAGAAACGGTATCTGGATGCACAAACAGCCGACGGATTCGCGCCAAGTGTCCGCCGGGCGGAAGTCTGGACGGACCTTCTGTTGCTACGGAGGCTGTCAGGCGACTCGCTGTCAGAACTTGCCAAAGCCAAGCGGCGGAGAGTCACGGAGCGGGCGCAGGACTATCGTTGGCAGGGACCGACGTTACAAAAATGAAAGGTCGATGATGACGGAGGGTCTAGCTGGTTGACGGTTCCACACCCTCTCGCTAGGTTCGATTGGACACGAGCCGCTCATAAAGAGGATGCGGTCCATTTCGCGGTCAAGTACACGGAAAAAGCCATCGAGAAGAATGGATGGTACTGATCGGGAATTCGGGAAGATGTGAAATACATCGTTCAGAATTGCCCGGCCTGCGCTGCGGACAAGGCGCCGGTACAGATGCCTCGGACAATGGTGCCCACTCGTGTAGAGCGCCCCTTTTAGAGGGTTAGCATCGATACGACGGATATCAATGTTCCGAGAGGCCCCGTCGATCAGGGAGAACTCAATGTTCTTTTGGTAGCCGTCGATCATTTTTCAAAATGGATCGAGGCGTACCCTATGACCAGCTGGAATTCGCAGCAGGTAGCCTGGTACGTAAATCGATTTTTGTGCATGCATCTAGACGTACAAGAGGTACACATGGACAATGGGTCGGAATTTCAAGGCGAAGTAGAACGTCACCTAGTCAGGGCAGACGTTAAGATTATCTACTCGCCGGGGTATTGGCCTCAAGCCAACGGCTTGGTAGAGAATGCCAACCGATTGATTAAGACCGCCCTTAGACGGAATATCACTGCGGGAGACACCCGGCCCTGGCCTATCATTGTCGACCACATCTTGGCCGTTTATCGGGCTACCCCACACGATAGTACTGACCCTCTTTCAACTGAGAACCAATAGTGTCCCTCGGGTGCAGTTGTCCCCCTTGGTAGGTACGGAAGTTAGAGCAACACGGGCCCAGCACAGAGATAAGGCCCGCCACTATATGGACTTAATGGCTAGGGCCTATCCCCCGTTAGCGCGCCGGCGAAAGCAGGCCGTAGATTGGACGCATCAACGGCAGATCCGGGACTACGAAAATCGACATGCGTCCGCGGGACCACTGCCTCGCTATAAAATAGGGGACTTGGTGCAGGTACGGAAATCCGCGCACTCCTCCAAAATCCACCCACGCTACACAGGCATTTACGAGGTGACGGAAGTTGGCGCACGAGGCCAGCACTCCGTGAAGCTGGTTCCCAGGCACAACTCGCAGGGCCGCCCGTTGACGAGGCACGCTGCTGCCCTCCGGCCTTTTCGGCCATCGCTAGATCTCGTGCGGTCACCTGTCCTGCCCAAATCACCTTCTTCGTCCCTCTCTCGTGCTCCTTCGTCCTCGCCTCCTTCTTCCCCTTCTCTCCGATCGGCGTCATTGGCATCCACGGAAGACCTTGCCTCGCAGGATGAACCATCGCCAACAGGAGCATGAACTGCTCGAGCACTTCCAGCCGCCCATCTCGGACGCTCTTCTCCGGAACCGGTTCAACGACGATCGGCAACTGCGCTTCGACATTCAGCAAGTGAACGTCTCGGCTCCTAGCGTTGCTGACTTGGCGGTGTACTCGCTCCTCGCGCAGCGGGTAACGTACGCGGGCGTCTATGTGGACATATCACCCGTGCCTGGTCAGGAATCCACACGAGTGTTCATGGAGTTCCGAGCCATCCAGGTGGCTACGAACTTTGTGCACAACATCGCTACTTTCACGGGGGATTTGACCGTCTTGCCCGGGCACGATCGGGAGCCGGCGTACAGGTTCTTGCGCTATTACGCCCTCCAGGTGGCGAGATCGGTGGCGCGAGTGCAAGCGAGGGGCACTCATCGCTTCACAGCATACAAAGGACTTCTACGGCGGACTCCTGAGGGAGCACTTGCATTGGTGGCGCAGCTTCCCGCGCTTCTTCCTCCCACCGAGCCCCTCAACATCCAAGCTGTCCCTCCCCCTTCTCTCTAAATGCCTCCCTTCTTCTCTTACACTACCCTCCCTTACCAACTGACACAGCTTCCCTATCCTATGCGCAACTTCCCCGAGTACCTGGTGGAGCTGACGGACGTGGAGCAGTTGCCGGCCGCTGACGAGGACGCGTGGGAGCTGCATCGGGCGTTGTATTCGTCGGTGGTGCTGGGCATGTTCACCTTTTTCGTGGAGCACGAAGTTCATAACGTCGGCGAGTTCCTCCACGCATACTACGTGATCGCCAAGCCGAGGTCGGAGCGGAAGGAGGGAACAGTGGCGCTTTACCCTTTTGGGAGGATCGGAACGAATCGCCCGGGGCTCTTACAACTCATTCACATTGAGTTGTTGTCCATCACGCAGGTAATCGCCGCAGAAGAAGAAGACTTGCAGCTCAGACTGCGGACCTCCTCAGCCCCGTGCAGAGCGTATAACGCGGCGGTGATACCTGACTACCTGGCGCGTGAGGGGGAGTCCGTGGTGGACTTCGGGCACGAAGATAAGCCGTTGCGGCCTCCATCATCGTATCCAAAGCCGGCGGCCCTGAAGGCACCGAGAAAGAGAACTGTCCCGAAGCAGCGACGAAGTCCATCGCCGGAAGCTCAGGCCAGTCGAGTGGGGCCTGTTGAGGAGGTCGTCCAGCCTGCGCCGGTGCGCGAAGTCGATCCGGTTCGCGAGACAAGAGCCACACTCATCATCGGACCCCGACTGGGGGAGGACTGCCCCGCCGAAGAACCGCGGAGATCCACAGGCCATCGAGAGTCGACACCTCAGCGGCCCCGCTTCCCCGATCTCAATAGCCATGCAGCCGGGCCATCAGGCGCAGGAGGGGGATTGGGACGAGTTCCATATCCCGCATCCAGACCCCCCCTCCTTGCAGGACCGTTTCGATTTCGCCAGCCCATCCGGGATACCCCGGTCATTGACATTAGCAGTTCCCCCGAGCCGGACGGTCCATCAAACCGACGTGGATCACATGGTGGAACTGGCCACCATCCGGCTTGAGGCCATCGAGGGGGGGCCGCGTTCTGATCCGGCATGGGAGGCGTTCTTGCAGCCTCCATTCGACGGATGTATAGCGGCGAGGTTGGTGGGCATGCTCATCTACGAGACCGGAGGGCGGCCCAACGTTATGTACCATATCCTGGTCTTCGCGGCGGTTAATCGGGAGCGGAGGCCATATACGGAGACCCATCTGGTGCTGACGGGTCCGAGAAATCGGTCGCTGCGACGACGAATCATTCGGGCGATCGCTGATCTCGCGCCACGGGTCCTCTCACATGCGACGGGGGCCTTCCTCTACCCCTCCTTTGTCCACCACCACTTCAATGAAGTGGAAGTGCCAGCCAACTTGGCCGCGCTCGCGGCGTTTCTCCCTCCTCTTCCTCCCCCTCTCAATCCGGAGATCGATTACTTCCTATGATCATCTCCACCACCACCACCTCTTTCTTTTTCTTCTTCTTTTCCGGATCTAAAGCTCGCGCGATAATACGCGCTGTGTATATGCAAAAAACAATAATAAAAAAAAATTAAAAAATAAAAAATAAAAAAATTACCGATCGGGCCAGCTGACGATGAAGGGGCCGCCGGATCGGGTGTGTACTATGGGAGGAGGCGATGGAGGATGCAAGATGCATCCACATAGATTAGGAAGATGATCGGGCCAGCTGACGATGAAGAGGCCGCCCGATCATCTAAGACATGATGACCTCAGCAGTCGGGAGACTGCTAATTTTTCGAAACCCCCTGCGTATCACAGATGTGATAAGCTCAGACTCGTACCGCGCGGCTTCCTGTATCCCTTAGGAAAAATCCCTCGGAAGCCCCAAGGCACGGATGCGGACAAATAGGGGGTTTTCCTTTCTTTTTGTTTTCTTTTTGAAACGGCTTTTTCATTTTGTTTGGTTAATAACTCCTGCGCGGGTGAATAGCGGTCGCGGTATGAAAACCAAGAAACGGAAGCGGTTGGGACTTTTTGAATTTTTGCGCGCGCACGCCCAAGCTCCGATTTCTTCGTGCGTCTCGCATCCCCGTTTCTTGCTTTGCATCCCCGCGCCATCTTCCCTTCTTGCTGCGCGCATTTTCCCCATGCAGGACTCTTCGTCTTCCCCTCCGCCCAGCTCGATCCTTACTCCGCGAAGTGATTGGCCATGTAGTTGGGATGCTCGGATCAATGTGGAGAGCGGGAAACCGCGCACCACTTGAACGGACACCCCAATCACGCAGGACCATGCCATCCCGCGGGTCNGTAGTTGGGATGCTCGGATCAATGTGGAGAGCGGGAAACCGCGCACCACTTGAACGGACACCCCAATCACGCAGGACCATGCCATCCCGCGGGTCGAACCCTCTAACTCCCCACCTCCCTCCTGTCCTGCTCATCTACAACCTGCGCTGCCCGCACCTCACGCTGACAACCCGCCGCCTCCYGCGCTATAAATTTGYGCAACCCTCTCCTCTCTTCCTCTTTGATCTCGRCTGCAATGCTGCGCGAGCTATGCRCGAAAGTCCGCGGCGCCGAACAAGCTCGACGAGCCCAAGGACGGGCGGAGTGACGACGTGGGGTGGACCCGCGGTAGTCTCGGGGCGACGCAGTCGGAGGGACTGAGCAGTGGTGGGGAGTTAACGCCGGCCGCGGCATGGCCTTGTGGCTATGGTGGTCGGTGGTCTTGGGAGGTTTTGAAGGCTGCGCCTGGGGGCGGCARTTAATTGAAATTTTTGTGTACAAGAAGGACTCGCTTTTATCTCCATTGCTGCTTTGTCTACGCATGTCGTGTGTGTGAAGCCCCGAGTGATGGGAGCTGGTTGTGCGCATGAGTGATGTCGAAGGTCTATGGATGATTAGATGTCCTGTCAAGGGTTGTTGATTGTTTGCATGCATGTGTATGTACTTGTCCGGGCGGGGACGGGGAAACTGAACTGGGGACCGTCTGCCTAGGAGTACGAGTGTGTTAATCCCTTTGTTCCCATCCCTTCCGCGGCCCTTCGCACGCTCGCGCGCGTTCTCGGTGTAAGCTCCCTCCCTCTCTCTCTCTCGCCTTCCTTTTTGAGTTTCTCGTCCCCGTACCGGTGATGTCAACCGCCTGCGTCCGCGCGCGCGGTCGACGCCCCCGCAAGAGGAAGAGAGTTTCGATTTCGACATCCTCCTTCGACGCACTAACCCTGAGAGGAAAGGTTGCATCGAGTGTTGTATGGAGTCGATGTCGGTTCAGATGACCGGGAGCGCGGGATCTTGCCCGTGTTCATCGCCTACCTCCGATCGTCTCATCCCGCTACCGACCTTCCCCATCACAGATGACGACAGCGTCTACTGCGATGCGGACGTACGGCGCGCGCTGAGGCGAACGGAGCAAGTGTGCTGGCGAGACCCGCCTCGGGCTTGTGATATAAGGGGGAACGGGTTTATCTTGATTGAGCGTTTTGATTCCCCGAGTCTAATATTGCCTTATACGGGTTTGACCGTGTTGCCCTGGTCGGCCGCTCACGCCGCATGGCGGCCGCAGTTTGATTGTCGCTGGTGTCGCTGGTGTCGCTAGGGGGACTCGTGTTCTTGGCGACGACTGGTCCTGGGTTACGAGGGAGCGACACGTTTCCCCGAGCTTTCCAGTAGTGCGGGGGCGCTGCCCGCGCAATTTCGAATTCGGATGTCGTCGAGTCCTCCCGCCGCTTTACCCTCCCGGAACCTTCCGCGCGGACTTTGTGAGTCCGACGCTGAGGCTTGAAGGCCTCGAACCAACCACCTCTACAACAAAAGACCCGATGGTTTGGTCACTTAGTGAGGTCGAGGACGAGGCCTGAAGGCTTCGAACCCACCACCTATCCCCCGAAACCCCTGACGGCCGAAGTTTTGTCTTCCGCCGCCATGGCCCTCTCCCCTTGATGCCTTTTCCCGTCCTNCTTCGAACCCACCACCTATCCCCCGAAACCCCTGACGGCCGAAGTTTTGTCTTCCGCCGCCATGGCCCTCTCCCCTTGATGCCTTTTCCCGTCCTAATGCACGACGGCAGTTCGTTTTCATGGAAACCCTTCTGATTTTGTCGTTTCGGAGCGATCCTACCCCCACGGGATTTCGCGACGACAGTTTGACTCCGGGGTAACCTCTAGCCTCCCGTTTCGTCCGGGAGACTCAACACCTACGGCCAAAAATCCTCGGCCACGCCCCTCCAAGAACTCTGATTGGCGACCCCGTACGGGAAGCCGCGAGGGGGCGTGAGGTTGCGTATCACAATGAGGCCTGGAAACAAATAGCCTTTCGAATTTCGATGTATATGATTTGTGGCCATGGTTGACTCATGGATACTTCTTTTCCCCTCGACTGCTAACTTTTCCAGTGTTGTGGCTTGCCTTTTGGCAACCCTTAATGCCTTTATTTCAAATTATTTGCCCTTTACGCCTGGACCTTCCGACCTAAGGACTTTCCGTAGCCTGTTCAAAAACTCTAGCACCAGCTTTTCACCAACTCTTTACCAGCTTTGGACTTGGCTTAACCAAAACCTAAGACTAGGCACCGCTGCAGTACCCCCCTCGATCGAAAATGGGACTCCTGCGCGTGCGACTTAATATGAGGGGATGTGGGAGCTTTCAGCCTACCAACTACTACAGGTGGTCGGCATCAGCCAACGAGAGTGCAAATGGGCCGACTTTGACGGTCTTTGCACGCAAAGAACATGAACAGCCCGTTCATTACAGCTGTAATTGGCACAAGGTTCAGTGCGGATGCGGCGAAAACGGCCGGGCGTTCTATTAGCGTGTGAAGATGATAGAAGGTAGTATCACTTCTGCTACTTCATTGTTGTCTATTCCTATTTTCTTTTTCTTCTTCTTTTACTCTCTCTTCTGCTGCTTGCCCTGCTTCTGCTTTGCCTTCTCCTCCTCCTCCTTAGAACAACAACCATTGGCTGCCGCTACCAGCAATCACCACGGGTCTGGTCCTTGGGACCCTCCCTCCATTTGTGTCGAGGAGATGGTTTTATGTGAGAGCCTCGTTGGTTTCATCTGTCATGCATTATAAGAAAACTCCATTGAACTCCCTGATTCTCTGTGGAAGCAGCCAGGCAATTTCCTCTTTTGTGAAGTTTTATCTTGTTTGTTTTTGGGAAAATTTGTCTGGCGCCCCTGTATTTTGCGTTATTTCGCGTCGCGCCCCTCTGATGGCCGGTTTACCCTGTCGCGCCCCTCTGAGCAGGGTTCAAATTTTCCATAAGACCCTGGTGTCGTTTGGGCCTCAAATCTTTTTGTCACGCCCCTACCAGTACCGGTCCCTAATTTGCGGCATGCCCCTACCGGATGGCCGTTAAAAGCCAGCGGGAAA